AAACAAATCGCTCGAAGCCATAAAAATGTAATAACGAGCCTCGACGAACATATTCCCGAACAAAACTGATTTGTGAATTCTGCTGTCTCGGAGCCCCTTTATCATCTGAATGTGTAATAACAAAACGAGACTCCAAATTTTCCATTCCAAAAGAACTTAAAAGAGCCAAAAAAGATTTTGGGTTTCTGAGCTTTGTTATAACACATTCAAAATATTTTGGATCCAAATGTTCTACAAACATGATTAGACGCCACAATTCGCTCGAAAGAGTTTTTAGAATTCGGATAAACACTTGTTCTCTTCTTTTCTTGAATCCTCTTCTTCAACTTCTTTTTGAGCTACAAGAAGTCTAAGATACATTTTCGTCTTCCGCGTCCTTCGCGACAAATTTCAGTGCCTTTTGATTTTAAATACATAGTTTCGTCGGCCCAAAAGCGGTTCCGAAGCAGCAGGATAGCTGGGAAATGTGATATAATATAATATGATATAATAAAAATATAATTAAATAATTCGCATACGTAAGGTTGTCGTAAGGTTGTTTAGAAAAAGGCAATATTGAAAACAAAGAAAAGGAAGAACCACGAGATAACGCGAATTGGGAATTAGCGCTTGCATTGAAATTGATGCCCACGACGCTCGATATGCTAATAACTATCCTCAAACTTTGCTTGCATCCTACTCCTGCCCCTTTCCCTCGATCATAGACGTTCTTCCGAATGCCTCACCTAATCGAAATTCCATTAATTCGAATTAAACTTTATTCCGCTAGCTAAAAACCCAAATTAATGGGATGTGGACCGCCTTGTCAATTCCCAGCAAACTTATACCTTCAACATTCCAGTCTGTCCGTACTGAATATATTCCTTGACGGGTATACAACCCCGAAGGATAGCGAAATTTCCACCATGAAAGGAACCTTACGGGTGTGGTTACCGTGCAAGACTCTCAATTTCGCTCCTCTCAATGGTTGTGGTGATGTTAGGCGACTCTTCGACGGAAATTCCCCTTCCGAAGTTTCTTCATAATGTTAGTCTCCCAAAGCTCTCTCGTCTATGATGATCCTTTCACAGCCTACTGACCACCTCAGCAAAATAGGCGCAGTTCGCCAGGGGGGGGGGGAACTATTTTGCTCTTTATTTGCTTCCCATTGTCGTATTCGATGCTTTAACGAAGTGACAGGTATGGCTTCACGAGACTTCACAACTCTCTTCCTGATGACTCGACACGGCCAATGGAAAGTAGTGGGAGTGCAAAAGATCCGCTCCCTCCTGGTCGGATTGCTCAGATTCTTCCAAATCCATACCAACTTTGTAGTTTTTTGCCAGTTTGCCCAAAAAACCTGACATCGAGGGGATAGGCGGGGTGGTGGGGTAGCTTACAGCGCTGGTGAAAAGGGGAATATCAACAACTGGAAAATTCTCCTGGCCGGAAAATTTTCTCTTAAAGCCATATATTTCCTCAACCTACAGACCATATACGACCCCAAATGGGATTCACCCATTGATGCGCTGTACCCTGATGATAAACGCCGTCGTCACTTTAGAGCTGCTACTGTAAACTATAAGGCCGAATATGAAATAGTTTCTTTGTTCGCCCTCCCGGTTAACCGGACTGAACGGAAGCAAGGCGATACAGCTAATAAAAAGAATGAGAACAAATTCCTTGAAAAATCGCGGGTTCAAAAAAAACACCGACAAACCTCTTATGTTTGATGGTCGAGATTGTTTTAGCTGCTA